CCCTCCTCTGTGCTGCCCCCGGTTACTCATTAACCCCGAGAGGGAGCAAAATGAACCCTCCTGCTCCCCGGGCTGCAGGAAATGCTTCGGCAGAGCCCCACCTCGGTACCTGATCTTATTAACGTGATTATTAACACTTTTGTTGGGTTTGGCGTGACAAAATCACAGAATCACAGAATGGTTTGGGTTGGAAGGGACCTTAAAGATCATCCAGTTCCAACCCCCTGCCCTGGGCAGGGACACCTCCCATCGGAGCAGGTTGCTCAAAGCCCCATCCAGCCTGGCCTTGAAAAGAAAATTAAGAAATATTTCTTACAAAAAATAATAAAAAAAGGAAAATAAGCAATAGAGGTTGATGGCATCATCTTCCTAAAATGTGCCCCAAACATCCCGCTGCCGTCACTGGGAGCTGTGTGCTGGCTGCCTCACTCCACGGGCTGGACATCGGCTCGTTTACATCATTCCCACCCTGAGGAGGGTCTTCCCAAAATCCCGGCTGCCAGAACAGTCCAAGGCTTTGCTCGTAACGTGTGTCCCAGCACGAACCCGCGTTTGGCTTCCGGTGGGACCAATTAACAGGTTATTGCCCCCGGTGCCCAGTTAATGAGCAGGAAGCGGTGCCCCCTGAGCATCTCACCCGGGCTGAGATTGATTTCACATCATCCCGAGAAGATTCTATGATTCTGTGATCATTCCGCTCCTCCCGGAAATTATTTTTCCCAAAGCCCGCGGTTTTATTACTCTCATTAAGGCGGCGGGAGCGGCGAGGTACGGATGCAGGTGTAATTAGGTGTAGGTGTAATTAGGTATAGGTGTAATTTGGTGTAGGTGCAGGTCTAATTAGGGGCAGGTGTAGGTGTCAGTGGGTGTAGGTGCAAGAGCAGGTGTAAATGCAGGTTTGGGTGTGATCCGGTGCAGGTGTAATCAGATGCAGGTGTAACTAGGTGCAGGTATAGGTGTAGGCATTGGTGTAGGTACAGGTGCAGATACAGGTGCAATAAGGTGTAGGTGCAGTTTTGGGTGTCATCAAAAGGATCTGGGGGTCCTGGTGGACAACAAAATGACAATGAGCCAGCAGTGTGCTCTTGTGGCCAAGAGGCCAATGGGATCCTGGGCTGCGTAGGGCAGAGTGTGGCCAGCAGGTCAAGGGAGGTCATTCTGCCCCTCTGCTCTGCACTGGGGAGGCCACAACTGGAATCCTGCCTCCAGTTCTGGGCTCCCCAGTTCAAGAGGGACAGGGAACTGCTGGAAAGAGTCCAGCGTAGGGCAACAGAGATGATTCAAGGACTGGAGCATCTCCCTGACAAGGAGAGGCCGAAAGAGCTGGGACTCTTTAGTCTGGAGAAGAGAAGGCTGAGGGGAGACCTTATTAACGCTGACAAGGATCTAAAGGGCGGGCTGAGGGAGGAGGGAGCCAGACTCTTTTCAGTGGTTCCCAGTGACAGGACGAGGGGCAACGGGCACAAGTTGGAACAGAAGAGGTTCCACTTGAACATGAGGAAGAACTTTTTCGCGGTGAGGGTGACAGAGCCCTGGCAGAGGGTGCCCAGGGAGGGTGTGGAGTCCCCTTCTCTGGAGATTTTCAAGACTCGCCTGGATGCTCCTGAGTAACGTGCTCTGACAAGCTCTGGGTGGTCCTGCTTCAGCAAGGGAGTTGGACTAGATGATCTCTATGGTCCCTTCCAACTCTAAAATTCAGTGAAATTCAGTGAAATTAGTTGTAGGTGCAGGTGTCAGTATCTGTAGGTGTGGGTACAGGTGCAGATACAGGTGTAATTAAGCGCAGGTGCAGTTAGATGCAGGTGCAGGTTTAGGTGTAATTAGCTGTAGGTGCAGGTATAGGTAGGGGTGCAGATACAGGTGCAGGTGTAATTAACTGCAGGTGCAATTAGATGCAGGTGTAGGTGCAGGTGTAATTAGCTGCAGGTGTAATTAGCTGTAGGTGCAGGCGCCATTAGGTGCAGGTGCAAGAGCAGATGTGGGTGCAGGCGGAGGTGTCATTAGGCTGGGGTGTAATTAGGACCAGGTAATTAGCCGCAGGTCCCGGCGCCGCTCCGCCGGCCCCGCCCCCATCCCGAGGCCCCGCCCCGGCCCCGCCCGTCGCGCGGTGATGACGTGGCGCTCCGCCATAGGGCGGCTCTTCCCTCGTGTCACTCCCGCGCGCCGCGCCAGGCGGCAGGAGGCGGCCATGG